AGGGGCTCCCGTCCCCCATTGTTATTTTTTTCTTTCTCTCTCTTTGTTAACAAATGTGTCTGAGTCTTGGAAAACACCCAAATTCCGGAAATGTGTGGGAGAAACAAAAGAAACTTTCCAAACTCCATTGGCCCTGTGCGGTTTGTTCCGGGAGGGGTGCGGTCGAGCCCCTCCTTCCATTCCTCCCAGCTTCCTCTGCCTCAGTTCCTACACTGAGGCAGGAAGGACCCACGATCAGCCAGCTTGGAGGAGGAGGGGAAGCCTTCTTGGCTCCCATGACTGTGATCTAACTAGCTGCTGCCCCTCCCATTGAAAGCCAGGTGCCCCCAATTTGGGCACAACCCCAACTGTGCCACCCCCACCCCTAAGCTCAAGTGGAACACAAGGACCCCACCCAAGGAGGCCAGGGTTCTCAATCCTGGCTTACCAGTGACAGTGATTGGCAGGGCTGCCTCACTCTTTTGACTTGTTCCAAGGGAGATGGTTCTGTGGTCAGTCTCCAGGGAAGAGCTAGGGTGCCTACCTGGGCCACTGTACACTTGAGCCTGGAACATTCGAAACAGGCACAAGGAGGACCAGAATGTCTCAGGCCTACCCTGTGGTCCTTTTTTGATGACTCAAGCCACAAATGAGCACTGAATCAAATGCCGGCTGCCTCCTAGGCAGGGCCTGCCCTCCAATGGTTCAGATTTTGTTGCCTTTACTCATTCTGCCATAATTCCTGCTATAGTTCTCTCTCATTTCTTTGGCATTTATAATTACATGGTACTTTCCATCTCACTGGTCCTCACAATGACTGTGGGATAGACAGGCCAGGGATCATTATCTGCATGTTCTGGATATGAAGAGAAGGGCCCTGTGGTTTGTTGTAAAGAGCCCAACGCTTGGGTCAGATAGACTTGGGTTCCAGTGAGGTCTCTGACCAGGGCTGTGTGACCTTGGGTAAATGACTTGACCTCACAGTGGCCCAGGCAACTCTCATATATATAGCACAATGTCTGGTGCATGAAATCAATGCTTGTGGTTGGCTGAGAAGATAAAGGACAGATACTGCTCTGGTGGAGGGTGTTCCCAGCACCGTTGAAAATTGCAGGTGCAGACCCCAAATGAATGAGGAGACTGAGGCTCAGAGAAGACACACACTTTGTAAGGGGGGGCTGGAAGCGGGGTCACAGGCAGGACCCTTCTGTCATCCCTCATTATCTCTGATGAAGATCCCTTGTGGCATTGCTACCAGTGGCTTCTGCCTCGACTTTCTCAAGATAAAGACCAGGCTTCTAGAGGAGAGAGGAGCTCCAAGGACCTAACAGTGAAACCAAAGGAAATGACCCAGGCCAACAGCCAAGCTGGCCAGGATAAGGCTGGAGATGGCCAACAATGGGCTTTTCAGGACTTCTCTACTGGTCTGTCCTGTAGTTAACTCTACAGGGGAGAGAGAACGGAGACGTGAGTCCTACCCCCAAAGAGCTGACAACATGTATGAGGCCTGCTGGGGGGCTGAAGGACCCTGAGACTGGGAGTCTGGCTGACAGGTGCTGATGGACTCTGACATCATACTGTTCAACATACCCCAACCTTCCCTTCGCTCCAGCTTTTCCTACTGTCCTCCCTCCCTTCCATCATGGAATCTCAGAGCTGGAAAGGACCACAAGGACCCCCAGTCTGAGTCATACCCCAAAAGAATCCTTTTACAACACACCCACCAAATGGTCATCCTGCCTTTGCTTGAAAAGGCTTCCATGGCCACAAAAGGAGGGAGGAGGGAGGGAGAGAGACAGAGATAGAGAAAGGAGGGGGGAGAGAAAGAGATGGGGAGAGACAGAGAGAGAGAGAGAGAAGAGAGAGAGAGAGAGAGAGAGAGAGAGAGAGAGAGAGAGAGAGAGAGAGAGAGAGAGAGAGAGAGAGAGAGAGAAAGAAAGAGAGAAAGGAGAGGGGAGAGTGAGAGAAAGAGAGAGAGCACCCCAGCAGAGACCAGCAAGAAGAACCCTACACTGTGTTAGCCTAGGAGTGGTGAGGCCACAGGGGCCTTCCCTTCTCTGGGCCTTGGATAGCAGCTCTGATGGCCGGGGAACACAGGGCTGACAGTGAGTGTCTTCCTGAATGGAAGTCACCAACCAAGAGGGAAATGAGGGGGGAGGAACAAACAAAGGGGAAGGGCCCCTTTCTGAATTCCCCCTCTCACCTCCTCGGGGCTTCCTGGTGGCCGGCTTCCCGGGTCTACCGACTGGGACAGAGGGGCAGGGAGGGAGTCCACTGTCTACTTCCCAGATCTCCCCTAGCTCTCCTTGGAGAATGATGACTTTGTGCCCTAACCCCAGCTGAGGAAATGGAGGCTCATTTGTCCTCTTCGGAATACCTCTGGCCTGTCAGTGGGGCTGGGTTCAGTGGGGTTCACAGGGTAGAGAATCCTTATGATCACCAGACCATAGACTTCAGGGCTGGAAGGGCCTTAAAGATGGTGTGATTCAACCCTCCTCCCCGCACTGGAGACCCACATAGGTGAGTTGGCAGAATCACAGAATCTCCCAGAGGCACCTTGGAGACATCCCACCTGACCTGCACCTAAGTAATAATCAATCTCCTTCACGACACCCATTCCTCTGCCCTCAACGTTGGCGCTCCCCACCTCCTGAGGCAGCCCATCCGGCTGTTAGCTCTGGTTTTTGAGATTTTTCCAAACATTGTGCCAAAATCTAGCCCTCTGTGACTCTCATGCCATTGCTCCCTGCTCTGTCTCTGGGTCTGAGCAGAACAAGGTCAGTCCCCTCTTCTAAGACGAGTCTTCTTCATCTGGGGTCTGAAGGTCTGGGGACATCTTTGAACTTGGATGGGGGAAAATGGCATTTTCATTTCAATATAATCGGTCTCCTTTGTAATCTTATGCCTTTTATTGTGTGCTGTTAAAACCATGATTCTGAGAAGGGGTCCCTGGGCTCTACCAGACTGCTACCACCATCAGTCAGCAAGCCAGCCAGCATTCACAGAGCAATTTCTGTGCCAGACCATGTGCAAAGTGCTGGGGGTCCCACTGCAAGTGAAGAAGAAAGACAGGCCCTGCCCTCAAGGAGCTTACACGGTAATGGGAGAAAACAAACACACCAAAAAGGGAGCCACGGAAGCTTCGTTAAGCACCTCTGGTCTAAAGTCACACAGAGAATGAGAGGCCGGGGGCGGGGGGGGGGAGTACAGATCTAGTGGCCCCAAACCTAGGATCCCTCATCCTACAAAAAACCTCAGGGCTAGAAGGGACCTCTTAGCCCCCCACACCTGAACTGAGAATGCCCGCTCTATTCAACATCCCAGACTCCACTGAGAGACATCCAGGGATGGGGAACTCACTACTTCTTCAGGTAGCCCTTTCCACTGTTAGGAAGCCTTTCTTTATGTGAAAGAATAAGCATGGGAATATCTATCCTCACAACCACTCTGCATAGTAATTGGACCCCCCCCATAGAAGCCAGCAGGAGGTTGGTGCCATTATTACCCCCATTTTATAGATGAGAAACTGAGGCAGACAGGTGAAGTGACTTGCCCAGGATCACACAGCTCTAAGGATGTGAAGCTGGATTTGAACTCAGATCTTGCTGACTCCAGGCCCTGTGCTCTATCTACTACAGCACCACCTCAATCTGCCAGATTGTGTGGTCTCAGCCAAGTCACTTCCCCCTTTGTGGGCCTCAGTTTCCCCACCTGTGAGATAAAGGTGTGGGACTAGCTCTGAAAGTCTACGAAATATGAAACCTCTGAAGGGAGGAGAGAGGACTGGGCAGCGGGGCCAGGCGAGTTGGGGATCCACAGGCTTTGGCAGGCTTGGGTGACCAGGGTTGAGTGAGCCAGGGTTTCTTCAATTCAGTAAACATCGATTGAGCACCTACAGTATGCAGGTACCAGTGGGGCCAGGAACACCTACACCGATGCACAAATGCAAACACATACAGGGGAAACATAGTAACAAGAGACGGGGAGAGTGGGGGGGGGGGGAAGCACCAGGGGCAGCAGGGGTGGGAAGGGATCAGGATACGGCTCCCGACCCTGAAAGGGAGCTAGGGACTCTAAGAGGCAGAGGAGAGGGAGAATTTGGACAGCCAGGAGGATAAGGGCAGCTAGGTGGTGTTAGTGGAGAAACCACTGGGCCTGGAGTCAGGAAGACCTGAGTTCAAATCTAGCCTCAGACACTTCCTAGCTGTGTGACCCTGGGCAAGTCACTTTGCTCTGCTTGCCTCAGTTTCTTCACCTGTAAAATAAGCTGGAGAAGGAAATGGCAAACTCTCACCAAGAAAACCCTAGACGGGGTCACGAAGAGTCGGCCCAACTGAACAAAAGGAAGGAGTGCATTCCAGGCACGGAGACAGCCTAGGCAAAGACACTGAGGAGGGAAGGGGAATTTCATGTAGTGGGTCAGCGTGGTTGCCCCTGAAAGCATGGGAAGGAAGACCAGCCCCGGGTCACATGATCATAGATTTAAAGCTGGACCTCGAGAGCCCATCACATCAAACACTTCCTTTTACAGATGAGGAGACCGAGGCAAGCAAGGGTCCCACAGCTAGTAAGTGTCTGGGGCCGGATTTGAACTCAGGTCTTCCCGTTTCTAGGGATTGTGCTCTCTTCACTTGGTCGCCTCTCCAGAGTCAGATTATAAAAGACATTCAACGCCAAACAGAAGAGTCGCTGTTTTGTCCCAGACGTGATAGAGAACCACTGATGCTTTTGAGCAGGAGAATGATGGTAGATTGCAAGAAGATCGCAGACTAAGGAGGGAGCTCCACAGTGGCAGCCAGATTCATCCAAGAAAAATAATAGTTCACCTTTGCATTTGTGTAACCTCCTTAAGGTCTGCAAAGCACTTAACAAATCAGATGATCTCATTTTATCACCACGACAACTCTTGAAGGTTCTATTATTCCCATTTTACAGATGAGGAAATCAAGGCAGGCAGAGGTAAAGTGACTTGTCCAGGGTCACACAGCTAGGACATGTCTGTGACTGGATTTGAGCTCGGGTCTTTCTGACACCAGGTCCAGCATGCTAACCACTGTACCACCTGAGGAGAACAAGGAAACCAGGGAGATTGAGGAGTAAGTAGAGGTAGAAAGAGAGCCAAGCCCGAGCAGCAAAGCCACAGACAGAGACGGGCAGAGGAAGATGGAGCCTGAGCCAGGCTTTGGGATTTGGCTCACTAGTGACCTTAGAGAGAGGCCATGCCTCTCTTTTCCTGGTTGCTGTGAGCAGGGGCACTCACTGCAGCTTCCAGACCAATGCCCTGTGCCATCTGATTCTCTGTGATCCCTCTCAGGTGGCCAGTATCTCCCTAGCCTAAATATCTCCCGACTGATTCATCGCTACTCTGAAAATCTACCATTACACATTAATTCCTTGGAGGTTTGGCTTCCATTCAAAGGTGAACACCCCTGGGAGGCTTGTGAGCTCTTAATAGATGCATTAGATAATTAGGACCCCCCTCCCTTCCTTCTCCTGTCCCCTGTTCCAGCTCTGCCACTAACTGGCCCTGTGGCCTTGGGCAAATTCCTAGGATGATAGGGTTTGGAGCTGAGAGAGACCTTAGATTCCTCTGATCCAGTCCCTTAATTATAGAAAAGCTTGCCTCCTTTGTAAGCTGGGGGGAAGGGACATTTGGGGGAGGGGGATCCCTGACAGCTCTAAGACGCTGCTTCCCTGCTACGGAGGGGAGCTATGGGTACTGCGCTCTGGGAGGGAGGGGGGAGCGCCCAGCCACAAGCTGAGCTGACCTACCAGTTAATCTGCATAAGGCCCATGCGGGCAGCAGGTACTCGGCTTCCTACTGAACGCTCCATATGTTGACACAAGGCCTAGGCCTGGTGGGGCAGCAGGGAGTGGGCAGGGAGCCCGGTCCTCCCTCTCAGAGGTCGATTTCACCCTCAGAGATGTGATTTCCCCAGAGGCCTCTATGCCCGCATGCACCTCCCAGGGAGAGGTCATGAGGGGTGATCAGATGGGATCTTGAGAGACGGAGACTGAGCACCCTGAAGCTTCAGGTGTCGGAGGTGGAAGAGAGCTGGGGAAAACCAGAGAATCCGAAGTCTAGAGCAGGATGGGGTCTTAAAGGCCTTGGGGTCCAACCTCCTCATTTTACAGATGAAGAAGAAGAAACTGAGTCCGAGAGCCAGGGAGAGACTGGCCCAAGGTCACAAGTAAGTAAAACAGAAATTCAAACTCAGATCTGATACTGCCAAACCTGGTTAGCCAAGAAGGAATGATGGCCCAGGAAAGAATACCAGAGAAACAAGGAATTTGGGGATTTGTGATTTGTGAAGATGCTCCTCGCCCCAGAGTCCCCCTTCCACATTCAGCCCAGCCACAGAGGGAGGGAAGATTCCAGAGCCTGGCTCCTGTGTACCACCTCCACTGAGAACTGGGCCCTTCTTCACCTTTCTCTGCCTCAACCATCTCTCAACTTTTGCCTGTCTTCCAAACAGGGAAAGGCAGCTCTGAAATCCTCTTCTTCACTGGCAGGGCTTGATTTAACAAGCATTTCTTAAGCTCCTACTTTTAGGTGATCCAGAGACAAGAAGGACATAAGCTCTGCTCTCAGAGAACCTGCATTCTCCTTGGTTGGTGTGTGAGTATGCACATAGGTAGAGCACAAAGTGGATATGGGTAGATAAGTAAAGAGTGATTTAAGGAAGGAGAGGATGCCCAGCCACTAAGGGAACCAGAGAGGCTAAGCCTTGAAGGACAAAGATTCTGAGATGTAATGAGGAAGGGGCTGCCTCCCTCCCCAGCCCCAGGCACAGCCTCTACATCAACCCCTTCCTACAATCAGTGGTCTAGCCAAGCCAGGCTTGATTGCTTCTCTGAACCTGGCCATCTGCTGCCATCTCTGTGGACTCAAACCTGTCCCTACAGTTCCCTCCTCGCACCCATTTCCATCTACTAAATTCTTCTCTTCCTTCAAGGACACTTCCTCCAGGAAATCTCTGCTTCTCCAGTCTTCCAGCAGCCTTGGCCTGGGCCTCACGTCTACTCCCATCTCACACATCTTGGAAGATGCCTACATGTGTACATGTCACCCCTTTCTACCTCTCCCTCAAGCTTCATGTGCGTGTATAATGTGTGTGCACACATATCTATACATATAAACATACATACATATATATATATATATACACACACACACACATACACATATATATGTTTCCAGCTCCAAATCTTTTGATCTTCTTTGGAGACAGGAACCACTTTTAAACTTGGTGTCACCAGGTTTATCCAGCACAGGGCCTCTCACACAGTGAGCATCTACCAGTCATTCAGTCAATCAGAAAGTATTTATTAAACACCTGTTATGTGCCAGGCACTTTCTAGGTGCTAAGCAAAACATTTCTTGCCCTTGAGAAGCTTACGTTCTACCATGTTAGTTGAATTGGATGCAGAACCGGGAGACCAGTTAGCAGAGAAGCCAGAGGTCTTTCCCTCCCCACCCCACAAGGGATTCCTCATTTAGGGGGAGAGGAAGAAGGAGTAACACCAGGTCTTAGGAAAGCCCCCGGGGGAAAGAGGAAGGGAGAGGAATACTAAGCCCTCTTGGGACCCAGGCCAGGGCAGCCATGCCAGTCAGACCCAGGCCCATGGTCTACTGGGGCAGGGCCTCCCCTGAAAGATAACAAGAGAAGGTAGCAGACCATACATGAAAGATAGAGAGCTGGGGAAGACCCAGGAATCATCTTGTCCAAATTCACCCTCTTCATTTTACAAAGAAGGAAATTGATACAGGAAGGGGAGGAATAAGTGACTTGTCCAAGGTCATGCAGGCAGAACATGGGAAAGGTCAGAATTTGAACTCAGGTCCTCTCACTCCCAATCCACCACCTCTGGTGCCACAGCAGAGGAAGAAGAAACCTGAAGCTGGGGAGGAGGGGAAAAGGAGGCACTTGGGACTGGAAAGGGTGCTAAGGTTCAGAATCAGGGCTCAGGAAGAAACATTGGTAGCTGTGTTCAGGCCCAAGGTGTCTCAGAGCTCTTGGGCAGCAGAGGGAGGGGGCTGATGGGAGGATGTGACTGGGTCAGAACTCCAGGGATCGAGGGAGAAGGAGGGAGCAGCTCCAGCAAATGCCCCAACTGTAGCATATATGAGCATTCCCACCCAACCCAAGATACTCTCCCCAAGCAGCAGCTGTTCAGAAGGGGCAGGATTGCACCCTTTCAGAGCCTAGAGAAGAAAGAGCTTTCTTGCCTGGCTCTCTGCCCTGGGCTGTGGTCTCTCAGGACTGTCCTACAATCTCGTCGACTTTGCAATGTTCCCTCCCTGTTCTGCACCTTTCATTCTGTGGCCCCTAAAAGAGAAACAAAGAGAAATTAGTGTCAGATATTTAGAGATGAAAGGAATATGAACAGTCAAAGTTGGATATCACTTTGTCTAAGAAAGATTTGGAGGAGAAAGCAAGGAAGGAAGGAAGGAAGGAAGGAAGCCCCCTAGGAAGCAGTGGATGGTAATGGAAAAGAGCATGGGCTTTTCACTCCAAAGACCTAAGCCAAGTCCTGGTGTCGACATTTCTGAGCTGGGTGAGCCTTGGCCAGTGAAGCTCTCTGACCCTCAGTCTCCTCCATTGTAAAATGGGGATAATAATGCCTTCAATGCCTACCTCATAGGGCTGGGGGGAGGTACCAGGGAACCGCTTCCACTTCTATAGGACTGTTGAATTTTTGTCTTTGTGTCTCTAGCATATAGCATAGTGCCTGGCACACAGTCAGCACTTTATAGGAGATTGCTGATTGATTAGTAGTGATTTTCTAGATACCACCTGCCCAGACAGAATAGCTCCTCAAGGGCAGGAGCTAGCTCACTGAGCTGCCCTCAGTGTCTGCCCTCAGAACAAACATAAGGACCAAGGCCTCCGTTTCTTCAGGGAAATGCACTTTGGGGACACTGATCACACTGGGTCTAGGGGAACCTTGCTACAGTTGCAGGATGGCAAAGTGTCCCGCCTTTCTCCAGTTGCCCGGGGCAGGGCATACTCACCGAACCTCGACATCGTGAATGGTGTCTGGCAGTGGCAGGTTAAGGGTTTCAGGCAAGAGGAGGGCAGTGAGGCCCGTGATCACAGCAACGCCTCCGTAGATGATCAGGGGCAGCAAAGCGTTGAACTGATCCAGCAACCTCACCAGAGGCCCCAGGATAGAACCCAGACGTGCAGACATCTGGCCCCCACCTATAGCAGTCATTCTGTGGAGAACAGGATTGCCAGGGGAAGCAGGACTGGGCAGTATGTACAGCCCTGCTCCGCCCCAGCTAACACGGAAGAAGGAGGTGGCCACCGGGACACTGTTCCAAGTGCCCTTCTGCAGGTCACTCTCCCTGTCTTTGCTTGCTGTTCTAGGGAAGCCCTGGCACACCCCAGGCAGCTGCAGAGATCCCTGGGTGTCAGGAGATGGGACAGGACAGGGCCAGGAGACTGAGCTCCCTCCAGAAGCCCTAGCTGTAGGAGCAGACCCAGAGGGGAGCTGTAGAATGCCCTCCCACTTCCCCAGGGACATTCAGGGGTGCCAGGGTGGAGGAAGGCTGCAGCTGTGCAAATGGGGGAAGAGACAGATGGCTACTGCCCTTGTGGAATGAGAGTCATGAGAGAAGAGTGTGTTATCAGGCAGAGGAAGAGTGTTTGGTGAGTTTAGGGAGGGAATGGAGGTCACAGAAGAAGCTGGGAGGCATGGGCAGCAAAGCCTTATCATCGTTACGGTGTGTGTGTGTTTAAGAGAGAGAGACAGAGACAGAGACAGAGACAGAGACAGAGACAGAGACAGAGACAGAGACAGAGGGACAGAGATAGGAAGGGAGGGAGAGACACAGACAGACAGACAGAGGGAGAGGGAGAGCCTGTGGAGAGGGCATTAATAGACCCTGGCATTGGCCTGGGTCATGCCTCGCATCCTGGATGAGCCCACACAACACGCGCAGAAGCGGCGATAGCAGATCCAGACAAGTTCATCCTGGCTGAACAGCAGCCGCCTCCCGGGCTCCCAGGTCCCAGCCCCAGATCAGAAAGGTACAAGGCAGCCCTGGGCATTCGTGGCACCACCCAGGCCCTCACCTGCCCTTACCTGAGCACTGTGGGGAAAAGCTCACTGCTGTAGATAGAAAGAACAGTGTAGCCAGAACCCATGAAGCCCATTCCCAGCGCAGCCAGGATCACCCGCAGGATTTGCAGCTCTGTGGGAATGATGGGGAGTGAGGAAGGAAGGTGGGGGGGGCATGAGGGGGAGCATGATGGGGGAGGGGGAGCATGATGGGGGAGGGGGAGCACGATAGGGAGGACTCCCAGCAGGGATTAAGTCCCCTTGCCTCAGACAGTGGCTCCTTCCCGGAGGACAGAGAGAATATTTTGTATCTTTCTGCCGACTGTATCTCCATAGATTGTCTCTAATATATATATATATATATCATATTTGCTTATGTATGTACATGTTTTCCCTAAGGGAACATACTCTTTGAGGGCAGGAACTGACTGGCTCATTTATGGTTTTGTGTGCCTAGCACACAGTAGGAACTTAATAATAGCACATTGATCAATAGGAGGCAGTGCAGAATTGAGGGTCAGAAGACTGGGGTCCCAATGCCTCCTCTTCCACTGTGTGACCTTGGCCAAGTCATCTAACCCCCTTGGGCCTCAGTTTTCTTAACTGTAAAATAAAGGGGCTGGATTAAATGACCTCAAAGGTTTTTTTTTTCCAATTTTAAACCTATAATCTTATGACAGAGACAGTGAAGCATCACGGTCTCAGAGTCAGAAAGACCTGAGTTTGAATTCCGTGGATCCAGCAACCTCATATTTGTGAAGCAAACCTTAGAGACCCATATGAATCCCAGCTAGTATTATCACTATCAGCTTCAGTTTTCTTGCCAGTAAAATGGGGTGACAAGAGCACCTGTACCTGCCAAGGTTATAGTCAGGACATTTTGCAAACTTTAAAGGGTCCCTCAGTGCCGATTGTCATAACTGTTGTTGTCACTGACTGGCACCATCATTCTATCAGGAGGAGTGGTGGGGGCGACAGGGTAGCTCACCTGGGCCAGTCATTCCCAGGCTTTCCAGTATCAGAGGGTTGAGTTGGGGTCCCGGGTCCACCAGACAGATGTTCTTAAGACCATGTGCTAAAACCACTAGATAATTCCTTGATACTCTTAATCTCCTAAAGGATTAGGGGAATCTAGTCCTTGAGCACTGAAGAGCAGAGACACAGGCTCTTGCGTTTGTAACAGGAGACAGAAAGCTCTTAGAGGGCAGCGACTGTGCTTTTCATCTTTGCATTTCCAGGAGCTTGCTGAGTGTCTGGCATGTGCTAGGTGTTTACAAATGCTTGGTGAACTGAGCAAAAGGATCACAAGCCTCTGGTCATCTCTGACTCACCCTGGGGTATCACCGTGTTGGCCAGAATGCAGAGACCAGCCAGGATATAGGAGCCTGCCTGGGTTATGCGCCGACCCATGTAATTCATGGCGAAGAAGGCGCCAATCTTGCTTGGGATATCAATGACCCCAAAGAGCGTCTGGAGCAAGAAAATATTGGTCCCCAAGTTCTGCAGGTCCAGGATAAGTCCATAGAAGGTGAAACCAAAGGCAAACCTTAAGAGAGATGGCAGCAGAAAGAGGCACATGGTGAAGGCACTTTCCCCCTGTCCACTGGGGTTATTTGGGGTCTTCCCCAGCTTGCCCCCCACCCAGGAGGGAATTCCCCACTGGAGACATTCTAAGGTTCCTCCCAGTTTCAGCCCTGATATTTTGTGTTCTAAGGTTCCTCACCTCTCCCCACACCTCCCAAATCTGATTTTTTTCTAGTCTAAGGTCCTTCCCAGCTCTGACAGTCTCCATGCTCAGATTCCCCCAGACCTCAATCTCTGATGTTCAGTGATTCTATGGTTTGCTTTAGTAGAGGATGCTTGTATGTCCCAGAACAGGCTCACCTTTGTGGGGCAATGTTGAGCACATTAGCTTCCTGAGCCAACGGGCACACAGCACTTACAGGTACGTAACCCTAGGGAGGCTGGGATAGCTTTACTGAGTTTTGCCCCCCTCTCCTGCCAGGCTGGATGGGGTGCAAGGGGGACAGGATGGTGGGAGGGGTCAGAGTGGACCTGCTTTCCTCCTCTCTTTACTGAGCCAGGCTCTGGATCCTCCCCTACTACGAAGCTGGAAATCGTCCCCTATGGTCTACAAGCTGCCACTCAGCTTGCCACAGGCAGAGGAACCCACCACAAGGAGAACATGCAACAAAACCGCTTGAGCAGTTCAGGGGTTCGGAAGAGATCCAGCACTGAGTGGTCGGTCTTAGCCACCATTAATTCTTCCCGCATGGTAGATTTCACAACCTAGGAAGGGAGACACAAGGAAGATGTCAGTCTCTGAGGAGAGAAAGAGCTGGGAGCCATAGTGGCCCACATGTCCTGGAAGTAGCTCTCTATTCATGGCTTCTCTCTGCCCATGACTGTCACTGGGAGACAGCTTTCTCTAGAAATCTTTCTGGACTGTGGGCTTTCATGCCCTAATATGGTCTGTTTACATTGTCAGGGTCACTGGCATCCATCCCTTGGACCAGGGCTCGAGGAAAGGACCCTGGCCTTGGAGTCACAACAACAGGTTCTGTCACAATCTTCTTTGTGACCCTCCCTGGGTAAGCCCCTTCCCTTCTCCAGACCTCAGTTTCTTTATCTGTAAAATGGGGAATTAGATGAGCCCTTTCACTTGTGACAGACTGATCCAGGATTCTCTGCAGTGGCCAGAACATCTCCTACCCTTCCCCCCTCCTTCAGTGTAGACTAGGTGGGGACTGACAGGCTTGGAGAGTCAGGAAGACTTGGGTTCAAATCCCACCTTCAATACTGACTACCTATACGACCTAGGCAAGTTGCTGCACCTGTATTGGGCCTCACTTTCCTCATCTGTAAAATGAGGCAAAGGGACAAGATGAACTAACTCCCTGAGCCACCAGGGGGCGCCTTGTGCAAAGAACACACACAGTCCTCCTGTCCTGGAGAAGCGGGGTAGAGGAGGTTGAGGAAGGGGTAGGAAAGCATTAGGGACAGGCTGAGCTGAAAGAGCAAAGACGCTGGCTGCCCAGAGGCCCTGGCCCCACAGCCTCCACGAGAGGGCCAGAGAGCACTGAAATCAGACCCAGGATGCTTGGGTTCTAATCCCTGCTCCTACACTATCTGTATCACTTGGGGCAGGTAGGATTAGGATTGGCATTCGCTGCCTAACTCGAGGCAGCTGGGTGGTGCCATAGTGCACAGAGTGATGGGTCCAGGGTCAGGAAGACCTCAGTCTAAATCCAGTCTCGGACTCTTACTAGCTGTGTGACCCTGGGCAAGTCACTTAACCTGTTTGTCTTTCTCCACTGGAGAAGGAAATGGTAAACCACTCCAGTATCATTCACCACAGAGTCACGAAGAGTTGGATGTGACTGAACAATGCCTAACCTCACCTGCCTGAACCTCAGTTTCCCCATATGTCAAGTGAGGATAGCATAGCAAGCCTATCTCCCAGCGTTGCTGTGAGGAAAGTGCTTTGTAACCCTAAAGAAAGATGTGATCGATGACTGGAGCTGCTTAAGATTGTAGACATCAGTCCGAGAAGAGACCTGAATAAAGACCATCTCCCTCTACAGATAGCAGGCTGTAAGCTCAAACGAGAATACCGAAGGCCTCTCAGACTGCCTGAAGAGACACACGACGCCCAGGCTGAGGCAGCCGCCCAGCCTCTCAAACCCCCTCGTGGAGACATTCTACACATGCCTAGGGACGTGTTCTCTCCCCTCTTTAAATGGAAATTCCTTAAGGGCAGAGTTTCATTTGTCATTTTTATGTCTCCAGGGCCTGGTACAGAGTAGGCTTCTTAATAAATGTGTGTTGACTGGCTGACAAGCTGGAGCACGTCCAGAGGAGGCCAGCCTGGGTGTTTAAGCAGCTTGAGTCCAGTAAGAGTCAATTGGGGGAAGTGGGGATATTTAGCCCAGAGAAGAGAAGGTGTAGAGGGCACCGTGATAGTGGCCATTGAATATCTGAAAGGTTTTCATGGGGAGGAGACTTTAACATTCACTTTGCACCAGAGACCAGAACTGGGAAAGAAGGTGAAGAGAGGCAGATTTAGGCTTGATAGAAGGAAAAACTTCCTGAGAATTAGAGTTGTCTGCAATGGGAACGGACTGACTTGGGAGGAAATGGATCCTTCCTCACTAGAGAGAGGTGTGCATGCACAGCCTGCGTGACCTCTTGTTTTATCTATGTGTGTATGTATATATATGAAATATATGTGTGTATATACATATATACATATATACACACACATATTATATATATGTATGTGTGTGTGTGTATATATGAAAGTCAGGAGTTATTTGGATCAGATAATCTCTGAGGTCCCTTCCAACTCTGAGACTTTTTGAGGAAACTGAGGCAATAAGAGATTTCTGCAATGTTTCCCAGCCAGTCTCCTGACTCCAAATCTCATACTCTTTCCTGATCTAGCAGGAGCCCCCTAGTGGTCCAAGGTGGAGCTTCACCACTCCCAACCCTGCCCCAGGCTGCCTCACGGACAGGAAAGGGGAGTCACTGGATATGCCCAACCCCATTCCTCAGTTCTCTAAAGGAGCCCACCCTTCCTTCTTACCTCAATGGTCAAGGTGTCTCTAGCGTCCTTCTTCCCATTCATTCCTGCGGCTTTCCTGAGTGCATGGAGCCCTTGATCTATTCTGCCTGCGATGATGAGCCAACGGGCAGACTCTGCCAGCCACCTGTTTAATGTAGAGGATCCACCTGCCTGCCGATTCTGAACGAGAGAACCACATGGCCCTCCCCCCATCCTGGAAGTTTGCCGCCTTTCTGGCTTATGTACTCTCTGAGCAAACCACCTCAGCAGATACTAGCAAAACATCCTGGTTGTGCCAGATGGGATGGGGAGGCAATGAGGTATGGCTGAAAGAGCCTTGGACTGGGAATCTGGCAACTGGGTTCTGCCACTGCCGTGAACACAGGCTCTGAACCTCCGCTTCCCCTTGTAAAACAGCATGCACCTCTCCTAGGCATTCTGATTGATGGCAAAATGATAGCCTGTTTTGGCTATAGTAGGAAGACAATACATGGACAGTAGTCCTGGTCTTCAGGGGTGGTAGTGACCAGTCTCACTTTTCTCCAAGTGTGAGGCATTTCCCACTCATGTCACCCTAGCCACAAGGAATCCATACCAGGTGGAGCCCCCAGTGACACTGACCACGAAGACAGAAAGAAGAAGAAGAAGGGCACGGACACAGCCAGGTGGAGGGAGCCCCAGTCTCGGATGGCATAGGCAACCCCTGACAGCAAGACCTCGCCAATACTAAACCCAATAGAATTTATGGTCATCATAGTGGCCCCAGCCTCGGTTTTTGTCCACTCTATCACTGAAAGGAAAGCCAGACACAAGAGCAACTTCATTAATTCATTCATTTGTTCATCCACTTACTCATTCAGCCGCCCAGCCTGTCATCTGCTCAGTCATTTATCCATTCCATTCAATTCAGTTTCACAAATATGTATTAAGTATGTACTATGTACAAAGCACTGGGTGTACTCAGACAAAAATGGAAACATCTTTATCATATTCTCTTGGGAGGAGGGGGTTACAATGTTTACCCAGGTAGCAAATATAAAGTATGTCCAACATCTTTTCAAGAGGGAGAGAGTGCTTATAACTCGGAGACGGGGGATATATAGAAGGCTGCTGCTGAGCTAGAACTAGAATTGAGTCACAAGATGGAGTCAGTGTGGTCCACTCAACACCCACAATTCTCTTCCTAAGACTAAGGAGATTGGTGCAGACCAGGTTGTGAATGGTTTTAAATGAAAACCAGAGGCATTTGTATTTTTTCCCAGAGGCAGCAGAAAAGATTTTTAGCATAAGGAGTGGATTGGTCAAACCTGTGTGTTTTAGGAATATCACTGGCAGCGGTGGAGTAGGACGAAGCTAACAATAGCTGCATCAGTCAGAAGGCCTTTGCAATAGTCCAGGTGAGAGGTGATGAGGACCTGAACTAGGGTGGTGGCCACAAAGAGTGGAGAGTGGAAAGAATGAGACCACGGAGAGGAGGCTGTGGGAAGCCAGGGACAAGAAATGGATATGGGAGATGCCAGAGAAAGGTGAATAATGACTCAACTTGCACACCTCAGAGAGTAGGACCTGCAATAGAAGGGAGAGAACTCTGGAGAAAGGGACAGTTTGGGGGGAAAGGTAACACTGGAACATCCAGATGGAGCTGTCCAAAAGGAAGTTGGTGACATGGGATTGGAACTCAGGAGAGAGGTTAGGACTGAATATATAGATATGGGAGCTGCCTGTGTGGAGGCTAGTCAAACTCATAGGAGCCTATGGCCTCATCAAATGAGAGCATAGAGAAATAAAAAAGGAAAGGGCTTTGGGCAGCGTCTGGAGCTGTTGAGTAAAAATAGCCAGCAGCTAGATAGCACTTTGAAGTTTATAAAGTACTGTACATATGTTATCTCATTTGACCCCCCACAATCCCACCCTGGAAGGTAGGTGGTATTATCATCCCTATTGTATAGATGAGGAAACTGAGGCAGACAGAGGTTAAATGATTTGCCCAGGGTTACACAGCTAGTGTCTGAGGTCAGATTTGAACTCAGGTCTTTCTAACTCCAGGTCCAGTGCTCTATCCATTGCACCACTTAGCTGCCTCAGTAAATGGAAGAGAAGGAAGAGCCAGTAAAGGGGACTAAGGAATAATCAAATACGTAGGAGGAGAACCAGATAGGATGCAGAGTATGTATGGGACAGGGGGTGGATATGGTATGGAAGGTATTAAACACTTCAGAGAGGTCAAGAAAAAGGAGGACTAAGTAAAGACCATTCAACTGGAACAATTCCAAAATCATTGACAATCTTAGAAAGAGTCATTTCAGTCAAGTGGCGGGGTCATAGGCCACACTGCAAAGAGCTGAGAAGGGAACAGGCAGGGAGGAAGCAAAGATATCAAGGGAAGACAAGCCTTTCTTGGAGTCTGGCTCCAAGTGAAAGGGAGGAGAATATAAGATGACAACTGGAGGAGATGACAGGGTCCAAGAATGGTAAGGATTTTTTTAATAAGGAAAGTATGGGCACATTTATAGGATGCAGAGAAGTCAGTGGATAAGGACAGATTGAAGGTGACAGGAAGAAAAGAATGATTGAGGAGTCAAGGTCCTAGATGAGATGAAAGGAGATGGACTCAAGAGCACAAGTGAAGAGTTTAGCTTTGACGAGGAAAGGGGTCACTTCATCACAAACTAGAGCAAAGGAAGAGAAAATGGGGAATAATTAAGAAGAGCTTTGAGATACGGAATGGAAGAGAAGACGAAGCTAAAGACAGATGGCCTCCATCAAGAGGAAGTGCGAAGAACAAGAGGGGAGTCAGGGAAGGGTTTGGAAGAGGTATGCATGGAGAGTAGGATAAAGAGTCAATCATAGAAGAATAAAAGGATTGCCATGCAACAGCGAAGACATGGTTGAAATTATATCTCATAAGTTTGTAGTGAACACATGAATGAATGACTTTCTCTTGTAGTGTTCAGCAGCATGTAATTTGTCTGTCTATAAATTCATCCACCCATTCATTCATCCATCCATCCACCCATCTATGAATTTATTCTTCCATTCATCCTTATATTCACTCATTCATTAATTCATCCCACCATCCATCTATCCAACCACTTACTCATCCACCCATCCATCCACTCCTCCATCCATCCCGTTCAGTCTTCCATACATTCATCATGCAAGCATCTCTGTAGTCTTTCAGTAACTCAACAAACATTTATTAAGGACCTACTATATGCATGACCTTGTGCTAGATACTGAGAGAAATTAAACTAGATACAGTACCTGCCTTCAGTAGGGAAGATGAGACACAGACACAGAAAAACAATGCAAATTAGAACATCTAAGCATATGAGGATGCAAATGAGACATGATGAAAAGTTGGCTTCTAGCTGGGGAGGGGGAACAGATCTTAGAGAGATCTGCAGAAGAGAGGTATTTGAGCTGTGCCTTGAAGGGTGAGAGAGATGCCGATCTAAGGGGAGCTCTTGAGGCATGATTTCAGGGTTTGAGACAGGTCCATGGCACCATACTCACTGAGTATCCCAGCATTCATCATGAGGCCAGCCACAGCAACAGCTGATAGGAAACGGAGGCAGCCGTAAAGGAAGAAGTTGGGGACGACAGCACAGCAGGAGCCAGCAACGGCCAACAGCAGGTAGCAACAGCTCAATACCAGCTTCCGCCCAAACCTGTGACACAGGAAGTGAACCTAGGGCAACTCAGCGGGACCAAGATGCCATGGCACAGAGACAGGCGGGGAGGGGTCCCCCAAGATCTCTGTTCCCAGTGCCGAGGGATCTGCATGCAGCTGGGGGAACGAGAGCAGCTTAAACCAGAAAACACTCACTTGTCGGAGACAAGACCACATATGATAGCTCCAGCCATGATGCCGGCCATGAATATGGACTGAGCCACGGGCTTCAGGAACTGCCAGTCACACACCATATCCCACTATATCAGAAGGGAAGCAAATAGCAGAGGTTGAGAGAAGAAGCTTCATATGCTGTCAGGGAGCTTGGAACATGGACCACCAGGGCTGAGAAGGCCCCTAGAACCTGGGATGTCAGCTGGGGGAGGGGCCATCTCATTTCACATACTTGGAGACTGAGGCCCAGAGAAGAAAATGCTTCTCCAAGTTCCCACAGATCATTAGTAGTAGCCCTGGTACTTGGACCCAAGGCTTTGTCCTCTTCAGGCCCTCTATACTGAGAGTAGAAGGGGTCAGGAGGAACGTGATGGGAAGGAAATGTGTAAAACCCTAAGCAAGCCATCTGGAATGTGCTCGGCTATGTGAGTGTTGGGGGACTCTCCAAAGAGCTGCACATGGAGATGGGGAAGGAAGAGAGGAGTTGGAGGGAGGGAGCCCCCAACCTCAGACACGATGGTGGAGGTGAAGTCGCTGCGGTCGTAGATCCAACCATCCAGGCAAGGCTCTGTGTCTGCCTCGCTTGCATTCAGGGCTGACGCATTGAGTTCCAACAGCTGCCACTGGGGATGGAGGAAGCGACGACATCTCTCCAGCTTCTGGTGCTTGTCCATGGGGATGAAGACCCTCAGGAGGGCATCAGGACCCAGGCCTCTGGTGACGTTGAGGGAGGCGGGGGCATCGTCTAGCAAGGGCTGCCGGCAGCGATGGTCGGGAATAGCTGCTGAGAAGTTGTCCAGCAGATTGTGAGAGGTGATACATATGATGGGTAAGAACAGAGAGACGATCTGCACGATCTGAAACCTCCCCCAGCTGCCGACTCGCTCCAGAAGCTCTGCAAAAGCCATGGGGGCTGAGCCTGAGATGAGCCTGTGTAGACACTAGCCAGCCCTAGAGGCAAAGGTGGTGGAGCCAACAGAAGGAGCTCTGGATGCAGGGTCAGAGGCCCTAGTCCTCACCTCGGCTCTGCCTCTCACTGTCTGTGTGACCTTGGGCACATCATTCCCCCTGTATACCTGTAAAAGAAAGGGGAGAGATCAAATGGCCAGCCCTAAATCTCAACAAACTGTCATTGGTCGGCACTGACGTGAACCCTGGCTCCCTACCAGTCCAGACCGTCACAGCTACCACATACTGACCTTGAGTTGAGCCTGGACTTCAGTTTATACGGGTGAGCTCTTCCAGGGAGGTTCTGTTTACCTGGGCGCCCCCCAGGCTCTGCTCCATGAGGATCCTGGCAGCTCCTGGCTCAAACCAAGGGAGGGCCAGCCTGGAGGAAATGCTGGACCTCAAAATCTGTGGGAAAGCCAAGATACAAGCAGAGGAGATTTTTGCCAAACTGCCTCTGTGTCTCAGATTACCCTGTTACTAAATTACATTGGTGGAACGGGGGTTAGCCCTGTTCTTGTCCTAGTTAACCTTGGGGTTAACTAATGCTGGCACAGGCCATGATGTAAGTGAGCATTTCACCCACCCTTTCAGGTTGGGAGGTGGGCATCTGCCTGAAGGCCATGATAATCCAGAACAGTCTTCTGTAATCTCATCCTGTGTCTCATGACCCTTGGGATCTTGGAGTTCTTTTTACACCGTCTAGCCCCAATCCCTCTCGCTGAAGTTGAAGTCTATTTCTTCTTATCTTGCTTTTGGCAGTATGGAAAACAAACAGAACTTGAAGGCTGAAGACCTGGGTTTAAATCCTGGGCAAGTCATTTTTCCCAACTGGGTCTCAGTTGCCTCATATGGGGAAAAATGAGGTTCTTCGCATTTTTTGCGTCATGGACCCCTGTGGCTTCTCAAAATCATGGTTTCAAATAACTGAGGGAAATGTTAATGGTGAAAATAAAGATGACATTTTTTCCTACCCAAGTTTATGGGCCCACTGAGGAACTCAAGTGAAGAGGCCCTGGATTAATTAGATCTTCCCGAAGGCTCTCTGCGGTTCTAAACCCTGTGATCTAAAGAACCACAACTCTGCCGTTTCGCAGCCATGCGTCACTCCATCTTTCAGCCCCAGTTTCCTTCCTTGGGGACAATAAAGACCCCCCTGAATGAGTCAAGGTGTGCAAAAACACTTTGTATCCGTGAAGTGAAGCTACTTTCAGTTTTAAGAAGTGCTGCACATAGGTTAACTCAACTGATACAACAGCCTTGCAAGGTAGGGGTGATTATCACTCCCATTTTACAGATGAGGAAACTGAGGCACAGGCAAGTTAAGCGACAAGTCAGTATCTGAGGCAGGATTTGAATTCAGGCCTTCCTGACTCCAAGTCCCACACTCCAGCCACTACACCAAGCTAGAAAGAATGTCAACATCAGGGAAAAGCCAGTGGGCCTCTTTGACTGAAATGTAGACTGCACAGGGAGAAGCAAGTTGATATGTCCAGAAAGAAAGTCAGACTGTGAAGGATTTTAATTGCCAAACAGAAGTATTTTACCCTAAAGCTCAGAGTCACAACTGGAAAGTTCTTGAACGAGGGAATGACATGGTCCGACCTGTACCTTAGGAACATCAGCTATGGAGGCTGGATTGGAGACAGGGAGAGCCGTGAGGCAGAGAGACCAATTGTGGAGGCTGTTGGGGGTGTGGAGGTGATGAGGATCTTAACTAGGGAGGTGACCGTGAATAGAGGAAAATGGACAGAGGTGAGAGTTGCTTATAGGATGTTGCCTTCTGACTGAATGAATGAAAATTCATTTGGTAAGCACCTACTATGTGCTGAGCACTGTACTAAGAGCTAGAGATACAAATATAAAGATACAAAGACAATTCTTTCCCTCAAGGAGCTCATACTTTAACATGGGAAACCATACACACGGGTCACTGCCGGCCAGGGAAGAGAAACTCTGATCCAGGAAGTTAGAGGATGAGAGGGGGCCCTAGGTGAGTAGATCGACCCGTCCCATCCAGGAACAATGCTAGTGTTTGGATTCTAGAACTTCAGGGGATGGGGAAGGAAAGGGCACACAGGAGGGAGGTGAGATGACAGCAAGGAGTTGAGCAGAGAGCAAGGAGGGAAGGGAAACAAGGCTAGGACTTTCCTGAAATACAACTCAATAAATGCAATCACCCTTACAGTTCAGGGCCCTAGGGCACAAGTTCTTCCTGGGCATGGATTCAGGTGTGGGATGCTGTGGGAAGTGGCCAGAGAGGAGGGAGCAGCCTATCTGTTCCAGGTCACATTCACTGCATGTTTCAGTTCTTGCCTCCAGGCAGCCTTCCCTGATACATCACTTTCCTCTGCAAAGCACTTTACATATACAGTCTTGCATTTCATCCTCACAAGGACACTGTGAGGATCATAACCCATGGGTTATTGTCATCCCCTTTTAACAGATGATAAAACTGAGATTCAGAAAAGGGAAATGACTTGCTCGGAGTTGTAGCTAAGCAAGTAAAAAGTGGGGCTAAGACTTGAAAATCCTAGTGGCCTTCCAAGTCCAGAGCTCTTTCCATCATACCACATTGCCTTTCTAAGACATTTGCTATCTGTTTTACTCAAGGATTCCATAAGTCTTATCTCATAGACCAGATTGGAAACTCAAGGATCTGACAGTCGAGCTGGGGAGCCCATGTGAACACATAGATAGAGATCCGAGGTTATCAGACTGAGGAATCAGGAAAGGCTTCACTGAGAAGATGATGCTTGAGCTGAGTCTTGAAGAAAGCCAAGGATTCTAAGAAGTAGAGGTAAGGAAGGAAAGCATCCCAGGCCTGAGCACAGACAGAGGACCCAAGCCTGAACTTAATGCCTCCTATGAGATTTCCAACATGTAATCCCCCATTGTGAAGCCCCTCAGTCATGTGAAATCACCACACGTCTCTCTGGAGCCACCCATTCCACTTTGGGGTCGCTTAAATTGCTGGGGGGGGGAAACCTAAAATTTTAACAAGCCCCCATTGCTCCTAGATCTGGCCTCTGGGGCCATGTCTAATTCTTTCACCCTAGACTTTCAGATCATTGAAAACAGCTCTCCAGTTCCCCCTTAGACTTCCCTTCTCCAATCTAAAAATCCTCCGTTCCTTCAGCCACATTTTGTAGAGCAAGGTGTCCAGGCTAGGACTTCTAGGTTGTCTTGAATCCAGTTGGATAAATGCTTTTTTGAGTTCGATTATCCAATTTTAAAAATTTCTCCATTGCCAAAGGCCCTGTGGAGATAGCTGACTCCCCCATTTTTAAGAGCCAGAGGAAAAGAGGTTAGAGAAAAATCCTTACTACTCAGTGACTCAGCATGCTGGAGGGACTCTGAGATGCTACTATTTAACGAGGACTCCAAACCAGGCTAGATTCCCTCAGTGTCATGGTCCACTCCTCTCCTAAGGCTGCCCTTGGTAATTAGCACATTTTCTAGTTATTCACCAGTTTTGACTTTGATATTGTCTAGTCACACTCCCTAGATGAAAACATCTGAAAAGCCTGGTGAGTCCATTAAACATTGCCCCTGACACCAAAGGCATTCAGCCAACTCGTGTCTATCCTTATCTGAATTACTCATGACTGATGCACTCAGGAGTGACTGAGCTTTGCTTAGCCCAGACTGATACATTCTCTCTCTCTCTCTCTCTCTCTCTCTCTCTCTCTCTCTCTCTTCTCTCTCTCTCTGTGTGTGTGTGTGAGGCAAGTGACTTGCCCAGAGTCACACAGCTAGTGAGTGTTATGTGTCTGAGGTTGGATTTGAATTCAAGTCCTCCTAACTCTAGGGCCAGCGCTCTGTTCACTGTGCCACTCCAGACTGCTGCATTTTTGAAGGGCTCTGGATTCCCTTGTTCTCCTGAGTGTAAGACTCTACATACCCTAACCTCTGTGTGCCCCTTGGACTCAGCAGATTCTGGGCAGATTCTCATAACCAGAACCAACATTGGGCCCCGTGGTGGAAAGTCAGTCTGGGTATGTGTATCCTCACTTTCCTTTGTCTGCTCAATCAGTATACAATAAATCCAATAAATCCTGTAGTTAGATGAGCAAAGTCAGAGACTGTCCAAGTGACTTGAAATCCTGGACTATGCATTCCTTCTAGTCCAGCTTATTCCATTTCACAAACATGCATACACCTGCCCCACTCTTGCCACACCTGGGCCATTAGATCATTTGGGGTAGGAACACGTCTAGCTCCTTCACATGTTTCTTTCACTATGAGCATTGCAGGAATTGGGTGGAAAGGACCAGAGTCATTCACTCAATCATTTGATGAAGGAACAGAAAAGTCTGGGAGTGAGGGATACAGAGAAGGCAGGAAGGCTGGTCCTCTGTGAAGTCTCGCCATCATGTGTTTTTAAAGGGAGCATTTGGTTCTGAGATGAGGGAAAGCTGCAAATGGGGAAGAAGACTTTGCAAGGTAGGATTTAGATGTTTAGCTATCCTGAAGCTCCTTAAGCCATGGACTAGCCTCTTTCCTTCCCGAGTCTGAGGTGTGGTGGAGAGTGCTGAGTGATTACTGACCAACACGGGTCAGGAGCATGAAGGCGTATGTCTCTGACATGGAGAGAGCCTTACCAGCATGTCCACAGTACTTGGAGTGGGAATTAAGGGAAGCCGAGCATAAAGAGAGGACAGGAAAGCATCTGTCACCTGCCTACTATCTTGTCAAGGAAATCCAGCCCGTGTGCCATCAACAGGCATTTATTAAGCCCCTACTCTGTGCCCAGCACCTGTGCTAAGCTGTATCTATTATGGTTGAACTGCTTTAGGCTGACCAGACATCCCATCGTTCCCATAGCCAATTCCTATCTATGTTTGCCCCGAGTTAACTCTTTCCCAACCCCAGAATGTCATTTTTACCATTTAACCATCTAGCTGCGCTAAGGTAAAGACTCGGTATCATAAGAGTCTGTCTATACTCCATTCATTCCGTAGACGTGACTCCATGCTCTCAGGACCCAGTTCACCAAAAGGACTTTGTTCTCCTCTCTACATCCAAAAGGTATTTCATATTAAAATTTAACAGTTGTGCTAACTAGCCAGGTCACAATGGAAATCATTCAAATAGTTTGATCTTTGACCCGAGCTGTTGGGAATACTCACTTTTGAAGGATGGCTACATTTTAACAAGGCTGTGTCATCATGTTGCTCTCTCCCTACAGTTAATGAATGTGTTTCCCCATTCCATTGGTCTTTTCACTTTGCCCTCCCTCCTCAAGGAAGCCTTCAGTGATTGCACCAGTTCATGTTGATTTCCTTTTCCCCTCAACACTGTCTCACTCATTTGGGTGGAATGATTATTACTGAGAAACCACCTCACATTTCTGTTCAGAAATCTTCTTGTGCTCTATTTAAATTTGTTTTTAAAAGCTATGCTCTGCTATTCCCCAATTGATAAATGGTTGTAGGATGTGAATCGGCAGTTTTCAGAAGAAATCGAAGCTATCAATAGTCACATGGAAAATGCTCTCAATCACTATTGATTAGAGATGTGCAAGTTAAAATAACTCGGAGGTTCCACTTCATACTTATCAAATTGGTTAACACATAAAAAAGGAAAATGACAAATGCTAGAGGGGATGTGGAAAAATAGGGCCACTGATGCACTGTTGCTGGAGCTATGGACTGGTCTGACCCTTCTGGAGAACAATTTGGGCACCTCATGGTGGCTCCAGTGGGGAGATAAGGTCTGAGGCCTCTCTTACACCAAAGGCTCAGTCCTTTCCTCTTCACTTGAACATGTCAGGAAGGAAGAAGCCAGATCAAGGCATAGACCTTTAGAATATACCTCGGTTCTAGCTCCGCCATTGATCAAAGTGGTTTCTCCTCACCGTATGCTTACTAGACCAAAACTAATTGCAGAATGTCTGTCCATTCCCCGGAGTCCAGCATGAAAATGTATCAGCTGGGCATTCTGCACATACTCCTAAGGGCTGGGCTCATTGGCCAATCCCCTATTACACACACACGCACGCACACACACACATGCACACACGCGCACACACACACTGACACACACACACGCACACACGCACACACACGCACACACGCATGCACACACACACGCACACACACACACGGAGACACACACACACACACACACACACACAC